ACCAGTGACTAGCCATTCAATCCAGCAGTAGTAATTTCTGTTTTCAGCTACAGACCTTGATTAGTACAAATCAGACTCTTTTCCATTTCAGTAATGTTTTTGTAAAGCTCCCTGGTCTTTTAGAAGGGAAAAATCTAGGTATGCTTCTTACTGGTGAAGCAAATTGCTCTTTGCAGGAGAATAGTCTTAGATTCGTTCATAGACTATATGCTATTTTCTAGTCTTGTGGACAAAAAAATAAAAGCTTAGGAAGGATAAATGTGAACAGAAGCCTGAAGTCCATGTGTATATACATGTGCCTACATGTGTTTGGTCTCCTATGACATCGTGACAGGTAAGTCCACATGACAAGATGACTTCCCTATGGATCAGTTAGTTTGACTCTGTTTCATAGTCACCTACCTCAGGGTTGGAGGTTGGCCAGAGGTGCCAGGCAGCCAGAGTAGAAGGATAGACATGAATTTATCGAGTACCAAGGGAATGGGGCTGGGGGTGGGAATGGTGGGGACAACAGTTGCTCAAGAGCCTATTGGGGATCCCTGGGTGGCGCAGCGGTTTAACGCCTGCCTTTGGCCCAGGGCGCGATCCTGGAGACCTGGGATCGGGTCCCACGTCGGGCTCCCGGTACATGGAGCCTGCTTCTCCCTCTGCCTATGTCTCTGCCCCCCCCCCCACCCGTGTGACTATCATAAAAAAAAAAAAAAAAAAAGAGCCTATTGGCCTATTTCTTTTTTTTTTTTTCCTATTGGCCTGTTTCATTCACAGTGGGTGAGTGGTATCACTTTTGCTTATGGTTGTGACTATATTTTATGATTATACTGCACATATTTTTCTCTATATAAAGCCAGTTTAGTTGTAAAATCTACCCTTTCATACTAGGTAATGTCTCATTTCTTCTAACTTCATCCTCATTAAAAATCATTTATTATTTTAACAATTTAAACAGTTGCAAAACCTAACTGACTCTTGGAAGTCTGCATATCCCAGTTCCCATGGGGACCATACCCACAGGTGAGATTCACGGACACAAATTGAACACACTTATTAGTGCCGGGGAAGAGTTCAGGAATTCAGAGTAGGATTCCTTTTACCATAAGTAAAGTAAAAGCATTTACTTTTGTTTGGGTCTGAGTATAAAAGGGAGAAGACTGTTGCCCCATGCCTGTTAAGCCCATATTCCAGAAATTAAGACTTAAACACCTATATCCATTAAAGACTGGGTTTAAGCATTTAGTAAACTAATATCAAAGGTATTTATGTCTTAAATGTGTACTTTGTGGATAGGAGGAAAATCATTTATTGTGATTATTTGATCTTGGGCTGTTTGCTTTTCTGTGACTGGTCACAGCTGTGACTGGGACACAGCTAGTGGGTGTTGCAGTCAGGATTTACAAGGCAGCAGGACAAAAACATTTTAGCCTCCTAGCAGATGGGCCATGGTTTAATCCTGACTCAGTGACTTAACTAGCTGTGTGACTTTAACCTATGTGAGCCTCTGTTTCCTGATTTGTCAGGTGGTAACTCCTCCCTCAGTGCTCTTATGACGAACAAAGGTAACCTATCTAAGACACCTAGCACAGCATCTGACAAAGTTGGAGATGTTCCTAGATAATGGAATTCTTTTACTTGACCCCACCCCTGCCTCATGGGCTGTAGAATGGTGGTAACTTTTGGCCTCCTTTGATTAAACCAGTAATGGTTTAAGCATAATTTTCAAAACAGCAACTTTGGGACTTCCACATTTTGACACAAATCAAAATTCTCCATGAGACCTGTCATACTAGAGCATGAAGGATACCGTCTTTGTCATTTGAGGAATATTCCACTGAAGTTAACAGAAGAGGAGAACTGTTGATTGGCTGGCTATGGTAGAGGTGGGCTCAGTTATAGGCTTCTGTCCCAGAGGGGCTGTCCTGTGATCTCCCTGCCACAGACCTCAAAGGAGGGCTCCTTTGTGAAATCTTATCCAGACAAGTTAAAGGCTATGAAGCTTCTGCTTTGCTGCTGCATTTCTTCTGCAAAAGCTTTAAAGCTTTTGTGCATCCAGGCCATTCTTGAAAGTAAAGAAATGTACATCTTCTGCAGAAGTCATTTGAATTTCAGCTTTCACTTGACTTTTTAAAAGCCACTCTAAGAAAGGTGTTTCATTTTCCTTCTAGGTTACTTCATAAAATGCTAAGCCTCTCATTTTTTTTTTTATTTGGAAGATGAAGGGAAAAATCCCTTTTTCCTTAGCTTTACCTCTTTAAGTAATACCTTTGTTAAATTTCACGGAGATGGATGGGATCCCTGGGTGGCGCAGCAGTTTGGCGCCTGCCTTTGGCTCAGGGTGCGATCCTGGAGACCCGGGATTGAATCCCACGTCGGGCTCCCGGTGCATGGAGCCTGCTTCTCCCTCTGCCTGTGTCTCAGCCTCTCTCTCTCTCTCTCTCTCTCTCTCTCTCTCTCTGTGACTATCATAAAATAAAAATAAAAAACAAATTTAAAAAATTGTTTATTTAAAAAAAAATTTCATGGAGATGGTCAGAAGCTATTTGGATAAAGAATGTTTCTGAATGAAACTTGTCATTTGAGATGTAGCTTTTCATTTTTTCTGCCAAAAGGTAGTTTTGGCTGTATGTGTGTATGTCTGTGTGTGTGTTGCCATTGTAAGTACTAACCTGATTCCCTGGAAGGTAGAAGAAACAAACTAAAGCAGATTTGAAAAGATTTTCATAAATAAATATAACATTGGACTATGTTTATTGATAGCCAGTTGAAGAAATAAATAGGAAATAACAAATCCTCTTCAATTCAGAAATAGAATTACCAAGTAAAATTACGGAAGTATATTGCATCCACTGTTTATTTCTTAAAACAACAAGATCTTGCATGTTCAAGGCATGGATCCCTTCTTTTCTTCCTTCTCCCCATCTTGCCATCTCTATACAAGCTGGATGTGCTCACTTCGGCAACACATATTCTATGCAAGCTGGAGAGAGGGATCTAGGATATTCTAAACTAGATAGGCCAGATATTTGTCATAAGGGGAAGCACTGGACTAGAAAGAAGGAGATCTAAATTTTTACTCTAAATCTGCTGCCAGCTAACATTTGACCTGGGCAAGGAATTTTACCTTTGGAGCTTTGGTTTTCCTTGTGTGTAAAATGCTGATATAGATGCTTTCTCAGACCCATTCAGCTCTTCAGCCCTTCACTTTAATTCCAAATACCTATCACAGAGATGACCATGATTTTAAGTAAACTTAATATCTAAATTTCCTGATTTCCCCAATCTACATATCTAACATACGTTAACCTTAATGAAATCCCTCAGCCATTGAGGGAAAGATTTCTGTAGTTTTGGTGTTTTTGTTTGCCCCCACAGTAGATTTGCTAACACTCTAGTACATCTCTAGCAGTGACCCGGGCAATATTAGTAGATTAAAAAAAAATAGAACTATTCCTTGAGAGAGTTAATAGTTGACCTTAGATATGAAACAAAAATGGACTACTTAGAGCAGATGTATTATAAAAAGTAAAAGCAGGTGATGTAGAAGTACTTCTTATTGCTACCACTATGCTCTTAATCCTATAAGGTAAATGATGTCACCCTGATTTTAAAGCAAAAACTGAGGTGCCAAGAAAGGTTGAGTGTAATTGTCAAAGTCACTCTAACATTCAAAGGATTTAGAGAGGGTACATGTAGAATCCATGGGGTCCCCTCTTGGGCATGTAGGTGAAGTATCGACAGGAAAATTAGAAGAGTGGTCTGGGGTGGGAGCATGGCTTTGGACTTTCTAAACAGACTTGATTTTGATAAAGAGACAAAAACAAAAAATTATTTTCTTAATTTGGCAGTTGGCATTTATCAGTGTAACTTACTATAAATTTTTTTCCCATACAGCATGTTTCAGGCAGCCTAGAAGTGGAGAATCTTAAGTGAGAAAGCTCATTTCAGGAGAAAACAATAGTCATGTGATTGTACGCTTTGGAGAAAACAGTCCAAAAAAAAACTAAAAGTGGGTCAAGTGTTGAGGATTGCTCAGCACCACTGGTAGTGACTGGTCCAGAGCAGTGAGAATTGAGTGGGGATGAGGGGGATGGGGTGAGGAGGATTTTTTTTTTCTCCCTTTGATGGACTGTAGTTTCTCTCCTTTGAACTTGACCTGCAGAAGGGATATTCCAAGCTGTGGTCTTTGTGAGAATAGGCACGGTTCTCTCCCACCTGCCTGCCCTCCCTGGAAAATCTCAAGTGCACACCTCACGACAGGTGTGGCCCAGCCTGCGTACACAGACTCTGGGGTGGCAGGGACGTCTGGAAGGCTGGGGTACGTTACTGAGTGCGGAGTGAGCCATGGGGGTCCAGGGATGCCTTCCTTCATCCAGGGACTCGCCAACATCACCCCGATTGAAAAGTCGGCCCCCCAAAGAAGAAAAGGCCTTCTTGCCTTGAGCCCCTTTTGCCCGTCCCAGGAGCGCCGTGCTGCCCGGTGCAGGCGGAGCGCTGTGGGTCCTCCCGGCTGGCGGATGGCGAGGAGAGGACAGGCGGTGGGAGCTGCGCGGCGTGCTGGCCCGGGTCGGACCGCCTCCGGCCGTTCCCTGTGCTTCCCTGTGCTTCCCTGTGCTTCCAGGCGGACGCCGAGCCTCTCCCTCACCTCCTGGATTAGGACGGTCGGAGTTGTCAGGGCAACTGCTCTGGGCGGCACATGCCCTTTCCCCTCCTTGCCGAGTGCGGAACATTTTCCTGTGCGGTGGTAGGGAGAAGACTGGGGAAGGGTGCTGCCGCTGCAGGAAGACGCTGGGATCTGCATGAGCACGTTAGGCGGTGGAAGGAGGCAGCGGACCCTGCGAGCCTTTCCTGGGGCTTTTCCGGAGGGAGAGTGCACGTTCCCCTGTGTGTGGAGCGCGTGTGCACGCTGCGAGCTCCAGCCAGCCACATGCCTGGGGGGAGTCAGTGGGAGGGGGCGTGGAGGGGAGGTGCGGGGGGTTGCTGCTAGGTGAGGGGGGAACCGCAGGGCCTCAGTTGCCAAGTAGCTGGTAGTATCTGTCAGCTGTTTGCACACTGTTTACCCATAGGGGATCTATTACAAGTGCTCAAATGAACCGGCCGCTTAGAAACTAGCAGCTTCCTGGGAGCTGCAATTACATAAGCATATATTTTTAATATAATAATTAAAAAACAAGTAGCTGCGGTATGCCTGGATCAGCTACAGCTATTCGACAAGAGAGACTGAAGAAGAACTGTGCGAGGCCAAGTCCCCTTGGTTTATTCACCATTAATGAGGAAGACGAACAGCAAAAGAATGGAAATTCCAGAAGACCAAAAGGTATGCATTAGTTCTACCCTTTGGTTGGAAACTGAACCAGCCCCTATTTCCCTACGCTGTCTGTAACACTTTTACAAATTGGGTTGTCCTGCTCGTGTGTGGAGTGCTTGTGACCTCCTAGCACAGTTTGCTGGTGGTATTTGCACATTCTGTAAAGCTCTGTATGCATGAAATAGAGAACAGATTTTGCAGATTTGGTAGGTTTCAGTTCAGCTGCTTTTTTGACCCAAGCTACTTTCTTGGCCTAGAGATCTTTAATTTTCACACGTTCGCTCGAACAGTTACCAGTACACTGTCCTCACCAGGAGGAAGAAATAGGGGTTATCCAGGTTTAAATGAGGTGTATGGATGATTTCTGTTTAATAAGAGTTTCTGCTGGCAAGGGGATGAGTTAAAGTAACAGAGTGCAGCCTTTCCAAGGGCAGAGGGTCAAGATGTTACTTCTTTTCTATTCTGAAATACTGAGAGCTTGAAGAGGAGGTAAATAAACATTGAGTGCAATGTAGGAGGGCAAAGCTAGGGAACCAGGAGGAGGGCACCATGAGGTTTATAACTTCTGATGGTAACTGCTACCTAACATCCCTGTGGAGGTTGGAATGTGCTGGGTGTAGAAAGGAGAGGTATGATTCTTGTGCATTTCATAATGATGAAATGGAGCAGCAGCTTGCCTGATTTCTCACATCCCTATGTACCGCCTAGTTTTATCATGGTCTCATAGCTATCCTCCCGGGGCTATGATTGTCAGAGATGGCAACATCATGCAGCCCCCTTCCCCCAAATACATAAACTGTTCATCTCTTAAACTGAGAGATTATCGGTTTTGCTGTTTCCATGTGGTGAGTAAGTTTTAGCTTGCATTCAAATTGTTCTGTCACTGAGATCAAATATTCCTCTGTGTGGTACACAGCAGTAGCATGGCAAAGTAGCAAGCAAATATTTAAGCACTGATAGAATGAGTATTTAAGTAGAATCCAGTGTTTGAAAATGGCTGGCTTGCTTTTTCCTGATTCTTGAGTGAATCTTAGTTTGCTTTTCTTAAATATAATTGAAACTATTTTAAATTCAAAAGTATATTTTTATTTCACTTTTAAAATACTATATACAGAGAATTTCTAAGTAGAATCTAACATAGTTGATTTTAATTTCAATACCAGACATAGCTTTTTAGAACCAAATGACTTAAGGAATTTACCAATGCCATGGATGGAAGCTGACCCTATAAGTGATTCTTTTATTTGCCTGGGAATTAGACAGTTGAACCAGAGTTTGCTCTTGATGAAAACCCAATACTTTAAATTGTTAATAGCAAGTCATTTAGCCTCTTGGGAGATGGTAGTTTTCTAAATTAATGTGGATCTGTTGCATTGTGCCCACTCTGTATTTTTGGAAATGTTCTTAATTTGTGGCACTTTTCCCTTAGGCATCTTGGAGATATAATTTAGGATAGCTATTCATTTTGTTGTGAGTAGTTTTCTTGAATTCCTGTCTTCTGTGTTTTTGTTTGTTTTTGTTTTCAGTTGCCTTTAGTATTTTATTTAAAGGGAAGAAGGCTAGGGGAAGTAGATACTTCTAAAAATCTATTTTTTGGCAATTCATGCAACTTTTTGGATAAGAGAGACTTAAGGAGTGTCTACTTTTCCCTGTATCAGATGGGAAAAAGAAGGAAAAGACCAAGAGGAAAAGTCTTATGTTGATAAGACTGTCTACACTTTCTGTACATCCTCAAATATCTCTCTCTTTTTTTTTTTTTTTTTTTTTTTATTCATGAAAGACGCAGAGACACAGGTAGAGGGAGAAGCAGGCTCCATGTAGGAGCCCGATGTGGGATTCAATCCTGGGACTCCAGGATCACGCCCTGCGCCGAAGGCAGGCGCTAAACCCCTGAGCCACCCAGGGATCCCCAAATATCTCTACCTTTACGGATACATCTAATAAAATAAACAACCTTGGAAATCTCTAATGATGGCTTGGTTGTGAATTTCTCATCAGGTCTATCTGAGCAATAGAAATGTCCACTTTCAAATCTAGCTTTGTCAATAGAACAGTGATGGAAATATTCTGTATCCACTGATACGATGACTACTAGCCACATGTAGCTGGGAGCACTTGAAATATGGCTACTATAACTGAGAAACTGATTGTTAAATTTTAATTGATTTTTAGTTAAAGAGCCACACATGGCTAGTGGTTACCTTCTTAGACAACACAGTTCTAGTCTGTAGAGTTGTGACCTTCTGAGTTTTTCTTACTTGCTTCCTAGTGCCAGATATGGTCAGGTCAGGAAATGAATGTTGTTAAAAGAAGGGCCTGATGGAGCGGACGGCCTTTTCTCCTTAAGGGAGCATAGTAACCTGGCTTTATAGACAATTTCAGTTATCCTTTTCAACCTAAATGTTATTGCTGCTCTGATTATTATACTTCTTGCCAGTTGCTAATATCATCTTTTCCAATGTATAATGGACTTTTACTTTCTAAATTATGTCCAAAGTATCAGAGCAAGATGACATACAGATTATCTTCTATGTGTTTTTATTAAGATAAACAATCAGAATCTTTTTTTTCCTGCCTATTCTGTGGTCTAATCCACCACTTGTGTCCTAACCTGGTTTTCATGCTTAGTATCTATATTCTGTCATTACCAGGAAGAAAGAAGTTTGCTATCTAAATTCAATAAGGTAAACGCTCCTGTCCAGGATTACCCTGGGTTAATGACAAGCTGCATTTTTCCAAGTACTCTACTATTGGGTAACCATCATCATGGACTCAATAGGAATGAACAGATGGATCACTGTTTGGATTCCCAATGGTGGCTTCAAAATTACCCTGGGGTGAGACAAAGGTCAGTTAGCTGGTAGACTAGCTCAGTTCTTGAAGGAGTAATTTCTCTCCCTTATAATCAGGAGGGATGTAAATGTTTTACATGCCTTGCTGCTATTAACATATAACATTTAGATTGTAATTGAGCTTAAGCTGGGCTACTGCTCTTGCTCATATACCTCTAGAACCCAAGCCTCAGTGTAATGCTGACCTGAGGACAGGTGCTGGAGAGCTTATTAAGATATTGCAGTGACCACATGCCCTTGCTTAGGATTCATGGCAAACCTACCTTATGGTGAATTTTGTTGAGCACAGTGTCAATAAATAAAAAGACCTTTTCTCCCTAAGCCAACACTTGTTAAATGCTCATTCTGTACAGATTACTTTGCTGGGGCTTTGTGGAGGTGTGGTGCAAAGGTAATTGACAGAATATCTGCTCCCAGAGGTGTTTACCTGTAGTGGAGGAGGACCAATATGTATCAATAATCCAAGAATATAAACTGAGATTGGGGGAAGGGCTGAGAGTGTAATGAAACTATCTATAGCTATGTCCATGCCCTTCTCTAGACCATAAACTTCTCAAGGGCCAAGACTACTCCCCTGTAGAGAAATTGCAGACAGAGTGCATGGAATGTTATTGAATAGAGATAAATTTGATACTTAAAAATAATTTGCATAGGTTCTGAAAGTCTTACTAACATAAGAATTCTAAGAAATGTTGATCGGGGACGTCTGGTTGGCTCAGTGGTTGAGCATCTGCCTGGAATCTAGTCCTACATTGGGCTCCGTGCCTGGAGGTTGCTTCTCCCTCTGCCTGTGTCTCTGCCTCTCTCTCTGTGTCTCTCATGAATAAATAAATTTTTAAAACCTTTAAAAAAAAGAGAGAGAGAAATGTTGATCCTATTAGATTTGCCCTTCCAAGGTAACTGTTTTGATGCTTGGCTATATCTGATAGGTAAATGCAATGTGGTAGAGAGTAATAGGATTAACCTAAGAGTATATCAGGGAATCTACTATTTTGTTTTCCATCATACTATTCATCATTTTCTTTGGTGGAAAGATGAAGGCATATGTTTACAAGATAGTATTAACTCAGTACTTTGTTAATATCAAGGTTAATGCCTTTTGCCCATTTTGTTAGCAAACTGCAGATTAGATTCTAAAGAAATAAAATTTCTTCTTGAAATCAGGACATCGCAGTTCTGAGGAAACCGTGCTCTCCTTCTTCCCTTACTCCTCTCCCTGCCTTTTTTGTTAAAATGTGTTTTTATGAACACTCAGCATCTTCTTTTCTTTTGGCTTATCCTCTCTAAAGGTAGAATTTCTGCCAGTTAAGGTTTCTGAAAGAAATATGATCTGCCATTTGCCATTTATATTCTTCTTGGATTGGTGATGATCTAGCAATTGTAATGTCCTCTTTGTAAGTCATGAATCATTATTTTCCCCCCAAAAAAGGAGTGTTATGTCAAAAAGTGTGAATGCCATTCTGGAATCCTTTTCTCATATTTTCTATTTCTTTTTCTTTTTTCTTTAAAGATTTTATCCATTTATTCATGAGAGACACACACAGAGAGAGAGAGAGGCAGAGACACAGGCAGAGGAAGAAGCAGGTTCCATGCAGGGAGCCTGATGTGGAACTGGATCCCAGGACTCCAGGATCACACCCTGGGCTGAAGGCAGGCGCTAAACTGCTGAGCCACCCAGGGATTCCGTCTGTTTCTTTTCTTGTTCTGTAAGACTTGGACTGTTGTCTGTTCCCAGTGTCTTTATTTGTGCAATTTCAAGACTAGGCAAAAGCTTTCAAGTAGTAGAATTTTACAGCTAGTGAGGCAAAAGTATAGTTCAGACGAGCAGTAATATCAAAGATCCCTATTATAAGGGGAAATCGTAAAATCAGATTGATTGGCATAAATTTTATTGGAAGAGACCTGAAATGTGATGTTTTATTCAAAGCACTAATATAAAAATAACAATAGGAGATGTCAGGAACAAGGACCACAACATCTGATGTATGGCTTACACTCCTTGGATTCTCTGTGAATACCTATTGAATGAGTAGACCGATCTCTCAGGCATTCTGTGTTACAGTAGAAATTAACCATAGGTATCACTATACAAGGGGAACATGATTTAACCTCTATATAACCAATTTTTTTTTTGTATGGTGAGGTACTATGTGTATT